CCAGCTTCTTGGAGTTGAAGATACGAAGATCAAGAATATGAGACCAGGAAGTAGAGATGTGAGTCAGGTGTTAGAACACTGGCAGCTTTGAATGACTAGCCAAAGGAGAATGCAAAGCCCTAATTTCAAGTCCCAGTGGTCACACCACACACACACACACACACACACACACACACAAGCTCTACCAAATTTAACAAGCATTTTCTCAAAACCAAAAGCCAAAAAGGCTGATATCATAGCTCAGCTCCAGAGTTCAGGTTGTAGAGCCCTTGTTAAGTAGGCACAGGGCCTTGGGTTCAATCCCCAGTACTGCAAATAGGTAGAAAGGTAGAACAGAACAAAGAAGGAAAGAAAACAGAAAAGAAGGAAGGAAGAAGGAAAGAAAGAAGAAAGAAAGAAAGAAAGAAAGAAAGAAAGAAAGAAAGAAAGAAAGAAAGAAAGAAAGAAAGGAAGAAAGGAAGGAAGGAAGGAAGGAAGGAAGGAAGGAAGGAAGGAAGGAAGGAAGGAAGGAAGAAAGAAAAGAAAGAAGGAAGGAAGGAAGGAAGGAAGGAAGGACAGGAGAGAAGAAGAAAGAAAGGAAGAGCAAAAAACATGCTTGCTTCAGGTCCTCATTGTACCTTACCCCTTTCCCTGTCTGCATTAGTTGTTTGTTTTGTTGTTGTTTATGGAGAGTCTTGCATTTTCCTCCATGCAAACCTTGAGCCATTATCCTGCTATGACTTCTTGCTTAGCTAGGGTTACAGATTTGAACCACCATGACTGAATTATTGAGATAAGATCTCAATAGTATTTTACCCAGGCTGGCCTCTAATTGTGATCCTCCTTAACTCCATCTCCATATTGGATTATAGGCAAGAATATCTCTATGTTTATGTGACAATTTAAAAGTATATGTGTATTAATCTTTGGTTTGCCTCCTGGGGGGGTGGAGGGAAAGGGGGCAGCGGGGGGTGGGGGCGAGGGAGATGAGAAGGGATGGAAAGGGGAAAAAAAGGAGGAGGCAACAATGTTTGATAAGAAATATACTCATTACCTTGCCCATGTAATCGTAACCCCTCTGTATGGTATTTTCACAATAAAAATAAATTAATTAATTAATTTAAAAAAGTATATATGATGCTTTCAGATAAATCAATGAGAAAGGGTGCATCTACCACAGTGTATTAGAAGTTTACTGCCAAGGAAGCTACAGAGACACATATATTGAATTCTAATGAACATCTCTGGCTCAGATGAATGCTGGTTGGAAACATCTATTTACATAGCCAGAGTTTGATAAGCTCTATACTGATTTTTGTTTATATTTCTTATATGAAAAACTTTAATCAATGAATGATCTAATAGTAATATTACCATACTTATAAGGATTCACTTCATACATATAATTTTGCTATAAACTATCATTCCCACTGAAACACCCTGAAGAATACAATCCCAAGATTCCTTTCCACGATATTATTAAGAGACTAAGGTAAGGCCATGGCTCACCCATGAGCATTTGGACAGAGGCATGAAGAAAGAGCCACAGTACCTCACAAGCTGGCACGACCAGCCTGAATAGCTAGAACTCTAAGGCCCAGAAAAAGGCATACTTCTGAGTGACCCATTGGCTCAGTACATAAGACCTATCCCCAGGTGAGAATTGCTGCTTTTCTCTCCCTTAGAGACACTCAGTTAGCTAAGGAAATAGGACAGGCCTTGTTTGCTATTTGACCTGTCTGGATGGAGCACTATCCTGACAGGAATTGGGTGAGCTGTTAATAAATGATTAATAAGTCATCAAGAGTAAATCTTCAAAACTGAAAAATAAGGATGCCTCAATTCTGAGCTCTGACAAAAGCCAAGTCCAGAATCATTTTTTTGTGTGAAATATCTCTGAGCCTGGACTCCTTCAAATGTAAAATGCCAATGGTTCTATGGGTGATCACAGATGGTTTGTAATGGAAATTAAATAAGAGGATCTGGGCAAAGCAGGTGGCAGATGTTTGCTTTACAAAGTGAGGCCTTATTCTTCCCCTTCTGTATTACTTCGAGAGCTTAGCTTCTCATTCTTCATCATACTTTTTTGCCTGGAAAATTAATCTAGCAATGAAAGCCAGTCTATAATAACACAAAATACAATATAAAAATGGAAGTAATAGTCAAGAATCCATTGCTGTAAAGATATTGTACAGAGGGGTTACAGTTACATGAGTAAGGTAATGAGTACATTTCCTACTGAACATTGTTACCTCCTCTTTGTTTTTCTACTACCATCCCTTCCCTCCCTACCTCCTCTACTCCTCCCTTCACTCCCTCCCCAGTAATTACTGAGGTTTGAACATAGCCCATGAACTTACTAGACAAGTATACTACTGCTGGAGCCATGCCATCAGCCCATTTACACTTAGTTATATTTTAGATAGGGTCCTGAATTTTTGTCCAGTTCAGACTGGCCCTGAAATGCTTCTACATCTGCTTTCCAAGGAGCTGGGATTATAGATATGTGTCATCATGCCCACCTTGGTTGTTGTTTGCTTGTTTGCTTGATTTTGATGGTACTGGGTTTAAACTCAGAGCCTTGTACTTGACTGGGAGGTGTTGCTTAAGTTATATCCTTAGCTCATTTTGATTTGGTGCTTTTTAAAACAGGGTCTCACATTTATACCTAAATCAGACTGAGTCACAAGACTTCTATTTAGGTAGGTATTATGTATTTCCCATTTAGGTCAGGTAACAGAAAAACACCAGTACACACAGCTTCCTTTTTAGATTGGGTCTCTCTAACTTTGTACCTAGAAGGACCTTGAGCTGAAAACCTTCCAATCTCTCCTTCCTGAACAGCTAGGATTGCAGGTCTGAGCTACTAAGCCAGGCCCAACTTTTTTTTGAGTGAGGTTCTCACTTTCTTTCCCTCCTGTGCTGGCTTTGAAATAAGATCTTGATAATATATATTTTTGAAAGACAAACTTTTTATTTCACTTAAATGTTTAGTAAACTTATTGCTGTGTATTTATACATTTAGAATACTGTAATTCGGAAACCTAAATGTTAATGGTAGATTGATTTACATTCATATGATAGTAAGATTCTATTTAAATTTTATGTACTCTATAGACCTATATCCTCTGAAGAAAAGGGTTTTTTCATTGTAAGAGCTAAAATAATATTCTTTAAGCTTAGGTAACAATTGGTTGAGTGGTGAAGTATGTATTTAAAGTGGCCCCAAAATGAAATTATGTTATTGTACTAGGACAAATTCCTCTCATTTGCATGGGTTGAGTTTTAAGAAATGACCTAATTAGAAGAAAAGAGGAACACATTCACAAGTGCAACCTGATGTACAGCCGATTTTTCACCCAAGGTACTGGAGCTAATTAATGCACAGATCAAATATGTTTGTCAGAGCATCTTGGGGGAAAAATCCACTGTCTACAAGTTCTTAGCAGCAATCTACTTTTCAGTTAGTGAATCATGCATCCAAACTGTTGCTTTTCATTTATTTGCTCAAATAACTTCTGTTTTTTTTCTTTGAAAATTATAAGTGATAATTAGGATGCTCTAAATTTATATGTCAAAGAAGTACAGTTGATATATGGTCATGATGTCAATTGCCTTGACTACTTTAATATCCTATTTTCTCTGATGGAAATAAGGACCTACGCTGAGACTAATGCAGTAGGTGTGCAGGAATAAAGCAAGATGTGCTTATGATAGTATTCAGCCAGTTCTCAGAGCCCAGGATTGGAAAGAGAAGTAAATACAGGGACAAATCTTCATGATGGGTAAGATAGAGTGGGAATCTAGATCAGAAGTGTCTTTGGCTCACTTTGGTGTAGCAGTCAGGGTCACTATGCTGCCAATTCCTAGTGGCAGGGACCCTGCCTGGGAAGCTGTGGCTGGGAGTTTACAACTGTCAATTAGACAAGCTGTGAAGTTGGAGTCAGTCTCTTTTTATTACCTCTCTTAAACTTCCCTCAGTGATTCTCAGGCAGAGGACTACACCTTTGGAGGGAGTCTGAAGGGCCCAACTTATTTTAGTCAATGGAATTCTGTTTTATTAGCTTCAGTACTGCTTGTCAGAGAACAGCAGTAGCAAGGTTCTTCGCTACTAAGAGAAGAGATTGGGCAGGCATGAGTGGGCGAGGGGAGTGGGGAGGATTTTTCCAGCTGTGGAGTTGGCATAGGGAAACTTGCACTCACAGCAAGCCTGCTGTGATCATAGAAAGAGAAAACCCAGAAAAACCAAAACACAGGGAGCTAATGCAACTTGTCCAGGCCACACAGTTAAATCTGGGATCTGAAACAGAAAGCCTGATCCAGAACTTGCTCTTTTGCCACCATGTTAGACTTACGTATTTATTCAAATGATTTCGCCAAGAGGTCAAGAATGCATTGAACCAATTATTCTATCTGTCATAGTCTTACTAATTTTGAGAACAAAATTTAAAATATCTACAGGTGCTATATTGAAAATGAAGACCATTATTGTATCATGGATTCATGATTCATAAGATTTCCTGATTAAGCAAGATAAAGTACTTCATGCTTTTAATGTATCCTTTATTCCACTGAAGAAACTAAGTTTCCAGGAGTTTCTGGAACCCACTGCAAACCACAGAACTGACATTTAAATTCATCTTGTCTGGTCTCTGGGACTCCAGACGGTTCTTTACTTTTTTTCCCTCAGGCGCCCCTGGCTTCTTGTAACACAGATGCTCCCTAGCATTTGATGGCTACCTGGAAAGACAAGATCTCAAGGGCTCTACTTCTTCATTCTTTTCCTCCTCAAGTTGACAGGCAGAGGACAGTTCTGATCGACTCTCAACATTTAATTATCCAAGTTAATTATACCGAGAAACAATCAACATTAGCCACTTAAAAATTAGGGAAAATGAACAAAACACCACGTGACCACCATCCTGACTTCAAACTCAAATTACTGTCACCTATTCAGCTCTGAGCGAGGCAAGGATTAAGGGGAGACTTAAAGCACCTCAGGTAATGCACCTGCCACCTACCTTTGTGCGGATGACAAGAGGAAGTGGTAGTAAAATCAGCACACTGAGCACTACCAGAAGAAACCGACGATAAACCAAAATGTAAGTAAGTAGTTTCATTGTCCAGAGCAGGTGCCTTCAATGGTGCTCTCAACATGAAGCAGACTTTAAATAACCAATCCGGATTAATATTTTCCAACACATCACCTCCACTCACTGCCCCAGACAGACCAACGTTAGTTAAAATTAACTCTCATTTTTTTATTGTTTTACTATCACAATTAAAACAGAGAGATAAGCTCCAGAGTGCCTGCGAGAAATCAAAGACCATTTGTTTGTGTGGCTTTTGAAAAGCAAAGCTGTTCTCTCCCTTCTTGCTGTAGACACACTAGAGGGCCATGGCTGTGAAGCTGGTTCAGTTTGCCAACCCTGGGTCCCCCTGCCCCTTTGTAGATCCCTGATTAGCAATTTCAGAGTCTGGCAGTGGGGGAAAAAAGGGTTTGTGGTGCTAATGGATTTTCCTGGGGGCTTCTCAGATTGGGAATTAAGATGCTTCTGCAATACTGATGACAAATTTCTCCTGTAGATTGGGAGCAAAGTTCTGGGTCTCCTAAAGCCTATTGCCTATTTTGACAGGAAACTGAAAGTAACCAGAAGTCTTCATGTTTTAGATCTTTGCAGGCTTGACTGATTTTTCTGTGTTGCTATGGACTACGTAATCACCAGGGACTACACCCAGAGATAAATCAGTACAGCCACATAAGAAACTGTGTGTGTGTGTGTGTGTGTGTGTGTGCATGAGTGCGTGCGCACATGTGTGTGCATGTGTATGCACGTGTGTGCTATCACATAAACACATGTTATGAACTTATGAGCGTGTGTAGAGGTGAGAACTCATCCAGCTGAGAAATGGAGGATGTACTGAAATTCCTCAGCACTTGGCTCTGCTGTGTTTCCTGATGGAAGTGAATTAATTTTCTGAAAAATTTCAGCTAAACAACCGCTAGCACTCAGCCCTAGGTATTAAAATAAACAAACACACACATTTCCAGCCTTCCTATTAATTTTAACTAATTTTTCTTGACACAATAGCTTTACTATTATATAATATATGGTTAGCATTTAGACTTCATTTATACTTTCATATTAATATCGCTTTTCTTTGTCACGGAAAAGAGTTCTTTCAATAGTCACTGTATTGATATGAATGAAAAGTATTTTTCCCTCTAGAAAAAACATTAAAGTTCTAGAAAAATTATACATAATGAGTCAGGAAAATCAGACTAATAAACAACAAAAATGTTTCCTAATCAGAAAGGCCCATTACATCACAATTTCTCAGGTGAAGGAAAGGATAATTACTGCATAAATAAAAATAGTCATAAATATTGAGCAATAATAAATACCAATGATAAATTATACTAAAACACATTTAAGCTATGAGTTACTAAAATGAGCTGAAATATAATATTTCCCCCACTAATACCTTGTACAATTCATTGTATGTATTTTTATTTCTTCATATGTTTTAAAGAAACCATTTCTTTTGATTTCCTTAAGCCACCTGGTGAGACCATTTGAACTTCACTTTTTCCTTTTAGAAAATTTTTGCTTTGTGAGATGACATCAAAAATAAAAAGGCATTTGTGACATTTAACAGAAACGAAGTGAAGGGAACAGTGGCACTTACTCAAGACTGAAACTGAAGGATGAGCACTTGGCATAGACCACTAACTTTTCTTTTTTTTTTAAAATTTTATTTTATTTTATTTGAGAACATACTGTACAGAGGGGTTACAATTACATGGGCAGGATAATGCATACATTTCTTACCAAGCATTGCAACCTCCTCCTTTGTTTACCCTTCACCTCCCTTCCCAGCCTCCCCCCTCCCCTCCACCCAATCATACCCCCCCTCCCCTCCCCAACACCGACATTGTAAAGCTGGTTTTGGACATGACAACTTGTACTTCTCATTGTTGCAACAGGTCCACCTGAATCCTTAAACGACTTGTTTGTCCCCGTCTCCTCCACATGTTATACTGACATCAAATATAGTGAAAGCGGGGGTTACACTGTGGGGGAGGGACATACAAAGCAACAAAGAAATAATCTTATAAATGCGTTAGAAACACATGCATGAAAGAAACAAAAACATTAAAATACATATTTAAGGGTTCGTTTTCCTAACATCACATTATCTGACCTTTTCCGCTTGACTCATACCTATACTAGATATTGCAAATAAGGGAAACCATGGGACCTATGTTTCTTTGGGCCTGGCTTACTTCACTTAATATAATTTTTTCCAAGCCTTTCCATTTCCTAACAAATGGGGTAATGTCATTCTTTCTGATGGAGGCGTAGAATTCCATTGTGTATATATACCACATTTTCTTGATCCATTCATCTACTGAGGGGCATCTGGGTTGGTTCCATATCTTAGCTATGGTAAATAATGCTGCAATAAACATAGTTGTGCTGGTAGCTTTAGTGTAGACCACTAACTTTTCTATGACTATTTTCTCTCCTAGCATCCAGATTCTACTGGAGGAAGGTTCCCAGAACCACCTCTCCTCTCTTGTGAGCTGAACTCAATTCTGTGGTCATCCATAATTACAATAGAGTTCTAATTTTCATTATCTCCAGCTATTCTCTTCTTTCTCAATGGAGTTCTCTTCACTGTCACAGACAAAATAGACAAGACACAGTAACTGACATTAAATATGAATGATTAGGATGAGATGATTGTTACAAGAGTCACCAGGGAATAAACCTCTAAGAGCACAAATAATAAATATCCTTCACATTACACCATATGATCAGGCACTTCAGGTCAAAAGCAGCCACAACGGTCAAATTGTGAGTTGTGCTGATAATCAATGTAAGGGGCAGGGAAATGAGTTTTTTGCACCTCTAAGGCCTGCTTTTTGGTCCTTCTTTCTTCTTTCCCTCTCTCCCTTCCTACATCTCCCTTTCTTTATTTCTTTCTCTTACATTTTTTATTAGCATTAACTAGTTTTACAAAGGGATTTCCTTTTGACATGTCCATATATGCGTGTCATGTACCTTGATCAGACTTTCTCTCTTTTTTCTCCTTTTTCCTTTCTTAATCTAATCTCAACAAGCTTCACTGTTCCATTCTGACCCATGTAGATACATTATTTGAATCACATTCACCCTCCGTCAGCTTTTCCATTTGCCCACCTAACACCATCACCCTGAGATGAAGCTTCTCACACACGAGGCAATGGGAGGCACACTCCAACACTTTCACTAATGTCCACACCCCAGACAGCTCCTATCTCAATATTTCCCCTTCCTCTTCCTCTTCTTCCTCCTCCTCTTCTCTTCCTTCATTTTTTAGTCACTATTGTATTTCATACATAATCAAATTGACCCCTCATGTACCCTTACTTTCCCCATTCCCACTAGCCACCATTATTCAACTATCTTCAATGAATTTCATTTATGTTTTTTATCATTCATAGATGCAATGTACTTTGGTATTGTTCACCCCTCAAACAATCCCACAGTTATAGACATGCTCTGTGTGTGTGCTTGTGTTTACCTGAATGTTTACCTTTTAGGAGTCAGGGTGATCCTTGGCTGACTACATCCCAATAACCTGGATGCTTGTCAAAAATGCAGATGTGCTGGGTGCGGGTGGCTCACACCTGTAATCCTAGCTACTCAGGAGGATAAGATTTGAGGATTGTGATTAAAGCCAAAACAGGCAAGAAAGTCAATGAGACTTATCTCCAAGTACCCACCAGAAAACTGGAAGTGGTACTGTGGCTCAAAGTGGTCAAGCTCAGGGTCAGCACCCAGGCCCTGAGTAAAAAAAAAAAAAAAAGAAAGCAGATGCCTTGACCTTATTAAATCAAAATGGGACTTGGGAATTTTCATGTTTTGCTGGCTCTCTGTATTATTTTTATGCACATTAAAATTTTAGAATCGTTGACTTACTACTTGTGCCAGAAATAACATAACTTATATTGTTCAGTTTTAATGATGCATGTAAAATCATGAATCAGACATTAATTCTTTGAAGATAAGGACCATTCATTTACTTGATGTCTCTGTGTCCCTAGCAAAGTGACCAGACTCACCTCTCTCCCTATCTCTCTCCTTCTTCTCCTTCTATCCTTCCTTCCAAAACCAGTCTCAACAAGGCTCTTTATTTCATTTTCACACACACACACACACACACACACACACACACACACACACACACACACACACACACATATATAATGATTTTGAGCTCAACAAGAAATGTACTCATTCCTTATTGATATAACTAAAACCTCTCTGTTCATCATCTTTACAAGAAAATAAAATTTAAGAAAAATAATGGCTTTTGGGGAGTAAATAATTGCATATTATAAAATTCTGAAAGTGTGAAGAAATAAACCTCCAAGTTTGAGTGGCTAAAAAAAAGACTTTGACATAGCAAAGTTTCAGATACCAGTTAAATACTCAATGGATAGTTCTCTAAACTTGCCTGTGATTGCAAATAATTGGAAACCAGTTAGCCTCATACTGGTATAGTATGATTTACAAAGACAGTTATCAGTAGAATGTTTAGGTGTGTAAAGAGATTTGGTTTTTGATGAGAAATATGTGCTCCATAGCAATACTCCTGTGTACAAATTAAAATGGTGTATAATCAGTATAGATTTTAACTAAGAAAAAAAATCTAAGAAAAATATAAATGTTTTCACTGTTGGCAAAAACAGCCAGGTGTATTTTATTTATTTCAGTTATGTGTTCCTATTTTCATTCATAAATATTTCAGGTTTGCAGCTCATGCCCATGTGATTTGATTGTCACCGTTAAAAGACTATTATTTGACATGGAATGTAAAACAAGATGACACCCTGACATTCATTGGCTATAAAGCCTTCACCAGTTTGTAATTCTGAAACTCCCCCATGGTGACTTCCTATTCATATATTCTAGATATGTCCATAAATTCCAAAACCCTACAGGAACTGCATGGAAAATAGAGGTGCTACATATTAGCAGAGTTTCGAAACTAGATGCTATTCAAGCTAGCAGCTATTTACTCTAGCATTTTTAATGTTTTTAATCTCTCCAGACAGATTGTTCCCTTCCTTAAGATGATAAATCCTCTTGATAAAACCA